GGCCTCCCCCCCCCCCCCCCGGTCTCCTCGCGTGCCCTGTAGAGGATTCAGAGGAGTCTTGCGGGCAGGGCTCTAGCAGTATCTTCCTGGAGTGATTCAGCAGCACACAATGTCACCGGGATTTGCTGGTGGAGCCGGAGATTGGATATGATAAGTGGGTCTGTGAGCAAGAGGCTGGCGAGGTCCCTTTGTACAAAGTTTAGGTCTCACTGCCTGAACGTGAGATTGTGTGTGTGTGTGGGGGGTTACATAATAATGCAACAATGATGGGGGGGGTTGAGAGAAGGGGCAGTGGGTGTAGGAGAATTAGGGAAGATGGAGAGCTTGTGGGGCATGGGGGTCTTTGTTGAAGGACCCCTGTAAAGTAGTGGTCTGTTTGCATTTTCTAACTTCAGGGAACCTTTCCCGTGTTGTCTGTTGGCGGTACCCCCCTGTGTGTTGCAGAGGATTCTGGGAAATCATCTAAGGTGTGCACACAGTTCATGCAGTGCTCCGGCCAGGCCTGTTGGATCTCACCACTGTGCTCTGTAAACCGCTAATGAAACTGATAGCTTTTTAAAAAAAGCTTCAGTGGCTGTGCTCTGTGGTGGAAGATTTCATAGTATTTAGCAGATTTTCTGGAAAGGCTGTCATCTTGTCATTGAGGGATCTCTGATAAACTTCTGGAGAGTTGTCTTTTAAAGAATGCAGTTTGAAAACCACGGCTGCTAAGGGCCGCAAGGGAGGTAACTGCATTGCTAAGGGAGGCCTTAGTCTAGTAACTGTCATGTGATGTATTTTATAGTTCTTTGTCTTTTGGAGTAAGAGGTGGTTTGCTGTGGATGGGTGTCCTCCACCAAACAGCTGATCCTAAATTCCCAAAGCAACGGTGGGGTGTGAGAAGTACAGAATAGTTTGGTTTGGTGTAAATATGCACTATGATTGTTGGAGCCAATCTGGTGAAAGTCTGTTACAAATGCAGTCCTGAGAGAGGGGAAGTGATTTGTAAGACATGCTAGGTTTTTGAAACTAGGTAATGTAGGTGAGTGAGGCATTCCAGTACCAAGAATGTGTGTTTTCCAGAGCTGTCTGTATGTGACCAGAAAACTGCAAAAGGATGAGTGTAGGTAGTTCATGTGTTGTAAGGGAAAATGCAGTGTTGAAAATACATTGTTTTGTACAAAGGAGCAGCAGTGATCCCCCCCCCCCGCAGAACAGCTGGTGTGGGGAAGAGGCTTCCATAACTGGAGGCTCACCTAACTTCAGTTCTGCATTGACTGGGGAGACAGCGTCTTGCTCTAAATTACACCATATGTGGTTGGAGTGCAGATACCCTCATTTGATATGCAAGTTTTGAAAGGGTAAAGAGGCCTTGTAATTTCTCTAGAGATTTCCCTGGCTCTGGCCTCTGAAGAATGTGCAACGGGGGATTCTTTTCTCTCTCCCTTTCACTGTTGTTGTGAATGTATTCTCACAATTCCAAGAGTACACTCTGTATTTACACAGGCAAGAGTGCATTTGTAGATGATGGAAATGTTATCACTGTCCTTATTTTCAAATCAGATGTCTCTGTGCAGCTGTAATAATAATAATTCTGTGCTGTCGAGTCTCAGCAGACTCATGGCGACCCCACAGGGTTGTCAAGGCCAGAGATATTCAGAGGTGGTTTGCCATGGCCTGTCTCTGTGTCATGACCCTGGTATTCCTTGGTGGTCTCCCATCCAAATACTAGCCAGAGTCAACCCTGCTTAGCTTCCAGGATCTGATGAGACTCGGCTATCCAGGTCATGGCATGTGCAGTTATACTGGGTGCCCAAACACACCCATCAGGAGATTGGAGTGGGCCATATTAGTACAGGGGAAGGGTGAACCATAGAGTTATGCAGCAAAATCTGGTGTGTGGGGGGGAGGGGCCTGCATTGTTTACAAAAGGCAAAAACGGGATAAAAATCCGGCCACACAATGGAGTTGAAGGATTCTGAGGTTGTGCCATGGCATTAGAGAGCTGTATGCAGGAGAAGGAACAGGGCTAGTGGGAAAGGAAATCACATGGAGGATAATTAGAGTGAAGCAAGCATTCTGTTCACATTCAGAATATCTTGGTGTTGTTGGAAGGCTGAACGGGATGTGAGAAATCCACTCATCCACAAAGCATAAAAGGCAGGGGATGCTGAGATCATAGTGGGTTTTCCACTCACCTGCCTACGGGGAGAAGACGGAAGGGAGAGGCTGAGTGGAATGCCTCCTGTGCGCTGCATTATGCTTAGCCACTATATTCCCATGCGAGTCAGGCTAATTTTATAAATTTGGAGATTACATATTAAAATGGAGGGGAGCAGAGCATTGTTAGAAAGCTGGGGGAATTCATGTTCAAAAGTGTGGACATAAATGAAGTGGACAGTATGGGAAGCAGGAAAAGGATGCAAACTGGGGTGGTGGTAAGGAACTACAGGCAAACATTGGGGTAAAGGTCAGAATATTGGGAAAGTGAGAGCCGCATTGTCGGGTGTGTAAATATGAAACGCTGCAGCTAATTCACATGAGGGGAACAGTTAGAGGCAATATTTAATCAATGATGGTTTATTTGATGATAATAAAGGAGTTTATGGAATGGAAAGAATGCAGAGTGTGGAAATCCTTTAAAGCAGGCCTTGACTAATTTTCTTTGGCTGTAGGAGCCAGTCCAGAAATTTAGGAATCAGGCTCATTTTTCAGCCATCAAATTATTGCTACCCAAAAACCTAATCCTAACCTCATCCGTTCCTTGTAACTTTATGAAAGCTATGATATATTGTAGAAGGTAAATAAATATATGTCTAATCCCGGTTGTCGTCATCACAACAAAAAGCTAAGCTCTAACCCTAACTTCTACCCAGTTTCTCAAAATTCCGGTATTGCTTTAAAAAGCACCATTTAATTAACTCAAAGCCAGTAGAGAAAGCAAATGGTTAAGAAATGATTTCATCCACCACCACTGAAAGGTGTAAAGTTAAGTTTATGTATAAATCGGCAATGACAAGCGCTTCATGAGCATTTATTTTTGTCATGCAACAAAGAAATCTGCTGCAAATGATAAATAAGTTCTGTGCTTATACTGAGAAATGCCAGAAGACACTACAATAAAACCATTGCTGAAGGTACTAGACACCACAATGAAATTTCTAGGCACCCTAGCACCCTGTTGTCTGGGATTCGCCGAGCTCTGTTTTAAAGACCTCCTGTTTAAAGACCTCCTGTGTTCCTTCAGCAAACTCTCTCTGGAGTCCACAGTGGTTTCCTGTATTGCCACTGATCAGGTGCACGCCTGCTTCACTGTTGCTACAGCACTGCCCCCATTCAGTACTCTTGTTCATTAGAAATCCATAATTATAAATGGGTGGTAAATACATACCCTTAGCAGGTGCAGTGGTTGAGCTTCCATGGTAGAAAGGAGCCTTGGCATCTTCTCTGTGGATCAGTTTTATTCCCACTATATGCTTTGTCCATGTTTGGGTGTGTCGATGACTGTGGAATATCTGTCTAATGTTACTTGTCTGCATGTCCTATGAGAATAGTATGGAAATAAGTGTATGAGGAGCAATAGGGCAAAATAACTTCTGAAAATGGATCAGGTAATGACTTTAGTTTGGTAGCTTTTGATGGTGAGGGACTGGCTCAGTGGAAGAGCTTCTGCTTTGCATGCAGAAGGTCCCAGTTTCAATCTCCGGTATCTCCAGTTAAAAGGACCAGGCAGTAGGGGGAGGTGAAGGACCTCTGCCTGAGACCCTGAGGAGCCGCTACCAGTCTGAGTAGACAGTATTGACCTTGATGGACCGATGGTCTGAATCCGAGCAAGGCAGCTTCATGTGTACGGTGATGACGTATTGCAAATAATACGCAGACTGTTTTATCAACAACAACAACAACCTTTATTGGCGTAACAGATTAAAGAAAAACAAACAGGAGGAAAATGAAATCCTAATACATATCTCTCCTTTTAGAAGCCAGATACAGAAAGTTCGCCACGTAATAATTACAGCCCTTTGGGTGGAAAGAAAATTGAGGGTCTTATGTTCATCTGATTGGCCGATTAGATCCAATAATAACCAATCTAAATACATAGTACAAATGTCAGAGTAGTAGGTACAGAGCAAAAAGACATGCTTGGTTCTTTCCACTTCATTCCTGGACTGTTTTATCAAGGTAGAACCTTTGCCTTAGTTTTGAAACCTCATTGAACCAGGCACTTTTGTCTGATATAAGGTATTGCACTTTAAAACATTTATTTTGCTCTAGTTTGCCAACATCTCTATGCAGTTAGAACCAGTTTAACTATTTCGCTAGTGTAATAGATGTGAATATTTGTCTTTTTTTCCCTCCTTCCCATTTAGATTCTGTGAACAATTGGACAGATACATGAATTACTAGCCTGAGAAGTTAATTTTGCTGATGGCCAGGATCTTGCTTTCATTATTAAGTCTTGGAGTTGAAGCATTGATATTCACAATGGTCATCATCTTTACAGCTACTGCGAGCCATCTGGGAACAACTTTCAATTTGGAGTTTGATGAATTAACATCAACATTATTGAAGGTGGAAAATGTAATTGCACAGTGAATACATAGCCTTCTGGTCTAGTACTCCTGGAATCTGCTACGTAAAGCAGCTGTCCCATGAACGTATAGAAGTATAACTTCGGAGCCAGCATGTTTTGGTCTGTGAGAACATCAGCGATTCTGTGTTTTTATGTTCAGATGGAAGCAAATTTAAAGAGGCTTTGTGTTCATAAAAATGGAGAAATCCTTCAAAGCTGCTAGACTTTGTACTAAATTACAGTTTTCTATTGGATTAAATCATTGGATCATTTTCAAAACCAGTGATTTAAGGGAGTGAGCAAAACCTTTTTGTACATGTATTGAGTTGTACATTTTATATCAGTAAACTGAAGAAATATTTTTAAATGACAAATTTCTAAGTAACCCCTCTTCTTTAATTGCTATGCTATTAAATGCAAAGTATTGAAAATACCAGTCTTGGTATCTTACTAAATATTTACTGCGGTGAAAGCAGTTGAATGTGCATCATATAATTGCAGATAACTAGAAACTGACATTTGAAAGGGCTACCTAAGATCAGATTTCAGATCTACCTATTTAAGATTTAGCTATGGAAACTCCGCAGATAAATTTTCCTCTTGGTCGCCAAGCAAAGCAAAGGGGGACGGTGGTGCAAGAGGATGGCAGCCCTCCAGCAAAAAAAGCAATGACAGAAACGCGTGTAAAAGATAAAGTTCAAACTGTGATAAATAAACTGACAACAATAAAGAAGGAACACTTGGATGAGTGTGAAGAAAATGTCATGGAGGACAGAGAAGAAGATGCCAAGCCAAATGTTGCTGCAACATCTGAGCCTTTGAACTTAAATCCTGGGCTGAAGCACACGCTGGCACAGTTCCACTTAAGCAGCCAGAGTTCACTGGGAGGTCCAGCAGCATTTTCGGCTCGCCACTCCCAAGAAAGCACGCCTTCTGTCTTTGTACCTCTCCCATCGCCCCAGATCCTTCCTGGTCCACTGCTTGTCCCTTCGGACAGTTCAACAGAATTAACTCAGACTTTATTGGAAGGGGAGTCTATATCCTGTTTCAAAGTTGGAGGGGAAAAGAGACTTTGCCTGCCTCAAGTCTTGAATTCGGTGCTCCGTGACTTTTCTCTGCAGCAAATTAACACCGTGTGTGATGAACTTTACATCTATTGCTCTCGGTGCACCTCTGACCAGCTTCACATTTTAAAAGTTTTGGGAATCCTTCCGTTTAATGCTCCATCTTGTGGGCTTATCACACTGACTGATGCTCAGAGACTATGCAATGCATTGCTGCGTCCTCACACTTTCCCTCAAAACGGTAGCTTGGTCCATGCAAAAAACTCTCTGGCCCAACTAAAAGAGACGGGCAGTGCATTTGAAGTAGAGCATGAGTGTCTGGGCAAGTGCCAGGGCTTATTTGCCCCACAGTTTTACCTTCAGCCGGATTCTCCTTGTATCCAGTGTTCAGAATGCTATGGGATGTTTTCTCCCCAGACTTTTGTGATGCATTCTCACCGTTCTCCAGATAAGAGGACCTGCCACTGGGGCTTTGAATCGGCCAAGTGGCACTGCTATCTTCACGTTAACCAAAAATATTTAGGAACTCCAGAAGAGAGAGATTTAAAGGATCTACTGGAAGAAATGAAAGAGAAATTTAGTGTGAAGAATCAGAAGGCCCAGGCGAAAGTAAGTTTATTTATTCTTGTTAAAATGTTTGGTTTCAGTTAGTGCTAAAAATGACATTTAAGTATTCTAAGTATGCACTTCATAACTGTGAATGTGAATCTGTCCCTTGTGTATAAAAACCTTAGCTGTTAGCAGGAAGTGTCACCATGTCACAGCAAGCACAACTCTGGGGAAAAAATAACACTCTTGTGCTTAAAACACAGGGTCATAAGCTAGCGGGTTTGGAACTTTATTTCTTGTTTCCTAACTGACTTTTGAACATAACAGTAGAAGAGCAGAGTTACCATTGCGGGGGGGGGGGGGAGGAGTATTCCTGTTCGATTTTGCTTCGTATACAATGTAAAGAGAAGAAGACCGGGGTACCTATGGGGGGGGGGGGGGGAGGAGTATTCCTGTTCGATTTTGCTTCGTATACAATAATAAGAATTATAAGGTTTGCCGGGGTCCCCAGGGTGGTGTTTGTGGGTGCTGTGACACTTGCCGACACCTTTTCTGGCACCTGCTAAGTATTTTTAAGTGGGCAGGGCCAGATGGGTCTTTTTCGCCTAGCATGGCTTCTGATTGGCCATTAGAAATATCTGTTGACTGCACAGATCTTTAAAAGTATTGCTCTCGTAAGCAGCTGCCACCACAGCACAAGAATCTCCACTGGAGGACTTGAAGGTAAGCTGTATGTATGTAAGAAAATATTTTAAAACAACATATTCGTGTAAGGAGGCATCCTGTTAAACAGAGCTTCTGCCTGAAATGTTGGAAGATTTCCTGTTAGAGTTACGCTTAACCTTACTCCCTGATAGATGGTTGTTCGGCTCTGCCTCCCGAGGCAGCCATTGTGTGGGTGCGTCCACCACCCTGCGTCAGAATTCCAAAAGTAACCGCAGGGTTGAAGTTGGGGATCCCTGATATATGTAATCATCAGTAAGTAACTAAGTACTGGGCAGTGATGAAGCAAAGATGCATCCCTCTCCATGCTGTAGTAAACGTAAGAAAGTAAGTATGGGAAGCAGGAAGGGTAAAAGAGAAAACTGAGCAGTGAGGTCTTTTGTCTTGCACTGTGAAATTCTACTTGAGGCATTTTAGGGGTACAATGTATTGCTCTGATTTTTTCCCCACACTCATTAGCCTAAAATGTTGCTGTCCCTTGACGTTGCCGAACAATTTTAAGGCTCTGACCTGTGCAGCAAGATAGGGGTAGGGATGGGAAGTTAACGTCTTTCTGGTCCTTATCAATACTTATGGGAGTTTTAAATCAGGAATGTATCATGAAGGCTTGGGTGGTTTCCTCCATGCTGTGTGACTGTTCTTCACCGCAAACAACTATGATGATAATTGCTATCTCTTGGCTATGCCAAAAAGAACCTCAACAAAATGAAAAAGGGAAGTGGCCCCTGTGTAAGCACTGCAAGCATTCTGGTAGAATAACACTCTCCTTCTCTGTGTTTTATGTACTATTTCAAGTGTCTGGTTTCTGTGCCAACTGAAAGTTCTGTATGGCAACCAAGGATAATCAGAAATGTGCATTTTGGCTTCTGGTCCCCCCCCCCCCCCCCCTCCCCGTGTTTGTTTTCACAACTGAAGAGACGCTCATGGAAACAGGGTTGCAGTGTCTGCATTATGGTTTTCTTGGCATGTAGCTTTCTGTGGGTAGGCAGTTCTCTTAATTAAAGACACACCCTACTCAGGCTAGTGCCTGTGGTACTGGGAAGGAGCTTGTAGGACAAGGAGACTATTTTTGTTGTCTCAGCTATGTACAGAACATGCTGCTTGATGGATGGATATTGGCAAACTGGGAGGAAACAGGATACAAGAATATTAAAAATTAAGTTGGGGTAAGAGGCTAGGTAAGAAAGGGGCAGGTGGTTTTGCAGATCTCTTAGCTTTTGGTCTAGCAGCTATAACTGGCAAGGTTGGGTATTTTGAGGAGAGGGGTCATAGTTCATGCTTTGCACGCAAGAGATCCTAACTTTCGTCCCTGGCTTTTCCTGTCATGTCAGGTAGCTGGGCTGAGGAAGGCTTCTGCCTGAGACCGTGAAAGCCTGTTGCCCATCTTATCACCACATAGCTGATGTGAAGTCCGTTCAGTGGAAACAGTGGACTTCACCCATGAAATGTGGAGCAGCAAATCCAAGAAGTCTATTTGAGTATAACTGGAAACATTTCAGCACCATACCTCATGCCAGTTAGAACTACTTTCTTACACGCCCAGGGAAATGCTGATCACCACTGATCACCATCGTCTGGGCATGGAACTGCGGTCACTGGGTGTGTGTGTGGGGGAGGTATTTGTGAATCTCTTGCACTGTGCAGGGGGTTGGACTAGATGACCCTGGAAGGTCCCTTCCAACTCTATGATCTATGATTCTACTAACTTATGGACTAGCTTCTCTACTCCTTTATGCCCTGCTATTTGCCCATTGGAGGAAGAAAGAGCAAGCCCTATACTGTATGCAGGTAATATGACAAAGGGCCAGTCATGGAGAAGTTTATCTGACTGGCGATAATGTAGCTCTAGTCTAAACTAAGACCATTGATTAGAAATTGGAAGCTCGCTGGTTTAACTCTTGGTAAGCAGTCAAGGAAGATAATGCATTTGTATATGGCTGCTCAAGCTATAAATTGCAGATACACTGATTTAATGATGTATACAATTGTCTTTGACATTTCAACTGAAATACTGTAATCACTTACAAGATAATGTAGCTCTTGTAAGAGTGTACATCAATAAATAACATTTTGACTTACCTGCAAGAAAGTGATAGATTCATTATGTCCTACGGCTTATAAATGACCTCATTACCATCTTGTTGCAGTCTTGCAGTAGGGCTAATGAAAGGCGATGTACTACCCAAATATGATGCTGCATTTACATATTGCTGTATAAATACTGGTGACCTTTTCAGGAGACTTCACAATATGAGTTTTAATGAGTAATTTGTGGAAGAGGGGGGGAATTCAGATAAGGACAGAGACTGTTATGAGACTGAGGCTTGATTTGTTTAATATTCAGCATTTTATGAGCTTTGGCAGGATTCCCTCTCATGCTTAATGAACTTATGCAGTCTAGTGGGTTGTATACGCAGCTAGACATTTGGAGAATATTTGAAACTCAGGCGAGGAAACATACTGGACCTGAAAATATAGGCGCTTGGGTAGATTTAAAGACTTGTCTATAAGTATGCTGGATTTCACCCTAGGTTTCTGGAAATACCCTGTTTGCCTCCTGTCATCTCGCTTCCTACTTAATATGGAGGAGGCAATACACATGTCTGTGCTTGAACAGGTATCCATTTCCATGATAAAACAGGGGAACAGAAACAGTAGTAGGGGAGCCTATTACCTATCTGAAGCACCTGCTTTCTGGGCATCTCATCAGCTTTGTATTTCTCCTCTGAAGAGAAATAGGGAGCTGCTTCAGAGAGTTAGTTACACCTGGGCCCGGCTGTGGAGCAATGTTCTCTCTAAGCTGTGGAGTCTTGTGAGCAAAAATTCTACTTTGTGAGCTACTGGCATTAAAGCTGTGAGCAAACGATTTGGCTGCTGCATAAATTAGTTTGCTCTGGAGCCATCCTTCCTGAGCTAAGGCAAAAATGTGCGAGCTGAAGGCTAAAAAACTGTGAGCTAGCTCACATTAACTCAGCTTAGAGGGAACACTGCTGTGGAGTGGTTCTCCCCCCCCCCCCAGTCATTTTTCTAGAAGGAAGACTACCACAAGTTGAATAAGTTGCCCTCTACTTGTTAAATGCAACAAGAATGGTTGATTCTCTAAGTATTTATAAAATTCTCTGACCTCAAAGTTGCCAAGGTTCCTCTTTGCCTTAAGTGCAGAATTCCACCCCCTTCCCCGGTAATCCAAAAAGGATCTAGAAATAGAGCGCAAAATACTCCTTTAAGCTTTTATAAGGAAAGTGTATGCATATGTGAACAGGAGCATCCCTGTTATGCATGCATTAACAGAAGTTGCAGAAGTGCTTTGCTGCTTCAGCAGTGCTTCTAACACTTTGGAGATGTGAAAAGCAAGTATCAAAAAGTAGTTAAGATGCACAAAGATTCTGGGATATGCACATTTTAAAGACTGATGAGCAATCAAGGGTTTTAGGGGTATGGCGGTGAAGGAATACCCTTTTGGTTGCCCGAACCATTCCTAATTCTGATTCTTGGGGGTGGGAACCTGAAAGCAATAAATATAATACAATTTCTAAAGCAGCATGAATGTGAGAAGCAATGCCATTTTGAGGTGATGGATCTAAAGGTTCAAGACTGAAGCATCATTCTAAAGTTTAAGGATCTTACTGTTCAGTGAGTTTTTATTTGGTTCATGTATTGCCTGTATGTGTCATGGCAGTTTTTAGTTAAAATTTTGAGAGGATTGAGAAAATAATTTTTTCTTTGTGGTAGAATTTTCAGGGGTCTGTCTCTTCCCTGTAGCATATGTCTTGTTTCAGCTTATAAAGATTTTTAAACATTTAAACCTTTTCTGTGTCTTGCAACCCACACTGATTTAATGCTCCTATGTGTTCTTGAAGACACAGTATGATCTGAATGATATTAATGTTAGTTGCGTATGCATAAAGAGGATTATATACAATGTTCAACCTATAGTGTATGGCTCGGAGAGGGTCCTAATGAGTTAATTGCTGCGTAGATGGAAAGGTTTACATTTTTAGTAACTTCATGACAGTTACCAGGTGCTCCTTTTAAATGGCTCTCAAATGCACACAAGCTGGGGAGAAACGAATGGTTTTGAGTACATATGATAGAAAAGCTCAGTCAGTTGTAGTTCAATATCTTGTCGAAGGCTTTCACGGCCAGAGTTCATTAGTTGTTGTAGATTTTCTGGGCTGTATGGCTGTGTCTTGGCATTGTAGTCCCTGACGTTTCGCCAGCAGCTGTGACTGGCATCCTCAGAGGTATAACACAGAAAGATGGAGTACTCTCTGTGTCAGTGTGAGAAGAAAAAAAGAAAACAGAAAAAAATTACCTGCCCACCGTCTTTCTTCTCACCTTGACACAGAGAGTACTCCATCTTTCTGTGTTATACCTCTGAGGATGCCAGTCACAGTTGCTGGCGAAACGTCGGGTCCTACAATGCCAAGACCACGGCCACGAAACCTGGAAAAATCTACAACAACCAATTGTAGTCCCTCTGATGCATGCACAGTTTTTTTTTTATGCTGGTACCATGCATCTTTCAAAGACAGTATCTGCCTCCTTTGTATGTAACATGGCATAGTACTTTGTAATTCAGCATATGTTTGGAAGCTGCAGTGATTAAAGAGTAAGATGGATCCACTCACAGGTGGACTCTGAGAAGCTGAAAGAAGGTGTTTCTATCTTGGAAGGATTAATGTGCGAAACTCCTTGACTACATACGTGTGCTCGGGCATGTGCACACAAATCCTAATGTTCAGTCTGTATGATTATACACTAAAACATGGGTCCCCAGCGGGTGCCCATGGGCACCACAGCACCTGCCAGCACCTTTCCTGGCACCCGCCAAGTGTTTTTAGGAAGTGGGCAGAGCCAGATAGACGTCTATACCGGGCAGTGACGGCGCGTGCAATTAAAAATGAATATATGTTGTCTTCCCTACAAACATTGTTAGTCCCTTGTCTATATTGAGTAACTGTACATCACTTTGAGCCCACTGGGGAAAGCGATTAATAAATGGAAAGTATTATTATTTTGCCCAGCAAGTCTTCTGATTGACTGTTGGAGAGTTGCAGATTTTTAAAAACATTGCATTGTCACATCACAGCACAAGGATCTGCACGGTGTTACTGAAGTGAAGCTGTGGCCATCGTTTTGTGGCTGGCTCCACCTCCTGTGGCTGCCATTTTGCAGCAGCTGTTTTGTGGCTGTACCCACTGTGCCATGTCAGAATTCCCAGTGTGCCCACAGGCTCCAAAGGGTTGGGGACCCCGGCATTAAGAAGAAGAAGAGATTGGATTTATAACCCACCCTTCACTCGAGTCTCAGAGCGGCTTACAAACTCCTTTCCCTCCCCCTGCCCACAACAGACACCCTGTGAGGTAGGTGGGGCTGAGAGAGTTATTTCAAGAACTGTTCTTTTTCAAGGGCAGCTCTTGTCAGAACTATGGCTTGCCCAAGGTCATCCAGCAGCTGTGAGCGGAGGAGTGGGGAATCAAACCCGGTTCTCCCAGGTTAGAGTCCGCACACTTAACCATACACCAAACATTCCCTTTTTCCTTTTGTCACAAATGTTAATTGAGAAGCTCACTCTTGCAACTAAATTGCTTTCTAATTTCACGTTATTAACAAAACTGGGTGGTGGTTTGCAGTCATAAAAATGTAACTGCAATCTGTGACGGAAAACACACGGTGGCTTTAAGGTCTTTTAACCAGATCCCCCCCCCCCAATTTGGAATTTTGTGTAGGTAGTTTGGAGAGAGCCATGAGTCAAGGTCATGGGCAGGGCTGCTGGGGCTGCAGAATGAAACGTTTGCAAGCAAAACTTCTAAATTCCTGCCAGCCCCTTGTGGATTCTCCCTGCCAAATCTTTGAAGTTTGCCTTCTAGTAATAATAGGTGCTTAAAATCAGTGAGCTTTCTTACCTCATTTCCACCCCCACCCCCAGATATTACTGTATGGGCGTTTTCTGTAGTGGAAGAAAAGTACTGTGTGGGTATTCCTTCAGCTGTCATCTAGCAGAAGCTGTCAGTATGTTTGCATGTATTGCCTCTGGAACCATGACAGAAACTTTGTTCTAAAACACTGAGGGTCTCAAGATTTTTTTAAGCTGCCATATGACATGAAGGTCAAAGAAGACGGGGACGACAAAGGATGAGATGGTTAGACAGTGTCATAGATGCAATGAACATGGAATTGAGCAAACTTCAGAGGACGGCGGAAGACAGGAAGGCCTGGCGTGATCTGGTCCATGGGGTCGCAAAGAGTCGGGCTCGACTGTGCGACTGAACAACAAATGACATGATCCACACTTAGGGATGCCAGCCTCCAGGTGGGACCTGGGGATTCCCTGGAATTACGGCCCATCTCCAAACTACAGAGATCCATTCCCCTGGAGAAAGTGGATGCTTTAGAGGGTGGACTCTGTGGCATTGTACCCCACTGAGGTCCCTGTCCCCCCTCCCCCGGGCTCCATCCCTCAAATTTCCATGTGTTTCCCAACCTGGACCTGGCAACCCTCCCCCCCCCCCATCCCCTGCCGACGGCCAGGGGGGACCTGGCAGCCATGCTGTAGGCTGGATCCAGCACAAGGACCTTGCGAACTCTGTGCAATGATCCCTGGTCTTCCTGGTTCTTTCTTTGCCTGAGCAACCCTGGGAAAGTTTATTCCCGGGGTCCTGGGACCAGAGATGAGAAGGCCTGGAAAAATTCAGGGGGGAAAGTGTTTCTGTTTTTTCATGGGCTTTCCCCCATTTTTCCATTGGAAAGCAGATTCTGCAACCCCGGGAATAACCGTTTCTCTGTTTGGAAATGGCTGCTGGGGCAGAGGGGAGAACTGGGAAGACCTGCAGCTGTCAGCCCCTTCACTGACAAGACTGTAGGATCCAACCCTTTGTTAACCAGATCAGTGATGCAGATTCCTAGCTTCCTTTCTGTAACCAGTATGAAGGTGTGATATCATTATATTAAGTAAGTCTGCGTTATGAAACTGTTTACTACCTTGAACAGCAAAACCATGTGTTGGTGTCAGATATTTTAAAAAAAATCCCACAAACTTAACCACAGATCCATAGCCTGCCCATGAATTGCAAGTAAGAAAGCATTTGACAGCAGACATAAATATACATTGCAATGGAAATGCGCCACATAAGCAAGCGGCCTGCTGGGAGTGGTTTTGTGGTGTCCAACCCTAATGGTCTGTTGACAAACTTATCTGTAGCAGCAGGTTCTGTAGCTTTTGAAATAAACAAGCAGGAGGATACACTGCCTTCAAGGAAGTTGAATATTGTTTCACCTGTGAGTGGAAAGGGCAAATCGGAGATAGTCCTGCTGTTCTGGTAGCGCTGAAGTTCTGTGACTTGTAAGTTTGTTTTATACCCTCTGAAATTCTGTAGGGACAGACCTAATTGTGTAGGGACAGAGAAAACGTCTTTTACAGCTTGCAAGAGTGAAGTCTGAGCACGCAGGGGATGCTGACTTTTCTTTCTTTTCTCAGGCAGATTCTCAGTATAACCTGGAATTCCAGCAATGGTATCCAGTGATAAAGCAAGAAGCAGACACGATTAATCAGCCACACTCATTTGTGCATCCCAGGTAACAACTTCATCAGAATTTTTCAGCAACAGCACAGCTTGTACTTTAATGTACTTTAATAACGATGTTTGAACTTACTGAGGTTTTGTAGTTTTTGTAATTTACGTCTTAAGAAATTGGGTGGGGAGTCTACAGTAGATCTGCAGCTGAGCATTTGGGATGGTGCCCTAACTCCTATCCTATCCAGAAGAATCCACTCTTAAAATCCCCGGAGTTGCCACTACCACAACACTGGATGGTCAAGGATCAGCCCCAACTCACAACCTTAGATGCCTCTGTAACCTTTTCAAATGATAATCAGGCAAGCTCCTGCAGTTACTCCAGACCCTAATGGACAACTCAGTGCCCATCTCATTCACCAGTAACAGAAGACCTGGACAGTTCTGCTGTTGAGCATTCAGAACTTGGTCCTTCCTGTCTTGCGGTCCCAGGATTGTCACTCAGTCTGTCCCCCCCCACAACCTCCCGCTCTATCCCGTTGCCTAAGATATGTCCATGCAGTCCCAGTCCCCTGCCTGAGTCACTTTGCACAAGGTGTTGGCAAGACCCAGGAAGAATGGCTACTTGACTGCTGCAGTACCCAGCTGACTGTCTGTGCTTTGGCCCTGTTAAGTCCTGTCAGGAAGTTTGTGAAAGGGGGCTTCTGAGTGCCTTCTAGCATCCTCTTTTTGGGGCAGAAAAGTGGCGGTATAACAGTATACTGTTTTCTTTTCTTTTTTGGGTGAGTATTGTGTGTTTGCGTTCGTGTGTGGAAGTCATCATGGCTGGCTTATAGCAACCCCTAAGTGGGGCTTGGATGTTTCAGAGAGGTGTCTTGCTATCGCCTGCCTCTGCATCCAGGCCCCAGTATTCCTTGGAAGTCTCCCATCCAAGGACTTGCCAGGGTCGGCCCTGCTTAGCTTCCGAGATATGACAAGATCGGGCTTGCCTGGGCTATCCATGTCAGGGCTACAGTATACTGTTTTCATAGGTTCTGCTATGCTTTGTTACTCAGCTGTTCTTTCTCATCTCTTAGCTCTTCCGCCCTACACTTAAGCTGCCCGGCAAACATTTCACTGGGTCTCTTCCTTTGCTGACCTGCATACTGTTCCATACAAGTGCTCCAGTCCTCTTCTTTCGGAACTGCTGTCCGGCCTGAGCTGTCTTCTTTCCCCTGCAGATCGTTTGACCAACTGGACGTGATAACAGATTGCCCATCTGCTTCTCCTCCAGCCCTGCTTCCATATTACACTAGTGTGAAGCTGGGCGTGATACAGCAGCAGATGCTCCGTGGCTAGGGAGCAAATCCTTGGGGGGTTTGGGAGCTCTCAGGGCCCCACTCAAGGCTAAGTCCAGGGTCACCTCCCTTCTGACGGTTTCAAGGAACAGTTATTTATCGCATCTGGACATTCTGTCTCTTGGCCATTGCCTCAAGGTGCATTTGCCTGGTCAGCAAGAAGAGACTCTGTTGAGTTGCCCATTACTACAACACTTACTCCTTTGGATGCCTCCCTTCCTTTCTTTCTGCGTTTCAGAATCATAATCAGAGTTTTGGTAGAAGAGGATAGCATAGCCCCGATATTGTTACTTTTCACAGCAACTCTGAAGGAGTTCGTTCATTCTGAATATTCTGGTGTATTAAACTTTTCCCTTTCTTCGATGTCCAGAGTAGCACCATCCTGATAGGTCTTTCCAAAGCCTTTCTATAGGGATCTACGGATAACCATATCCCCATATGTATGTTCTTGTTTAGTTGTAGCAGTTCTTCTGTCTGTGCTTGGAGACTTCTACCATACAGACACTTGCAGCTTCTTTTTCGCTTCCTTGTCCACAGTTCCACTGCATTTCTTTGGCCTCCTTAAACAGGTGCAGTTTTCTTTCATTTGCTCACTGCCAACTTCTGACCTGTTCCTTGTTAGATGACCAGGAACAATTTCAGTGTTCTGAACAAGAAGCTCCTATCACTTAAAAAAAAAATTATTTTAATTTTACAGAGTTTATAGCATGCCCTTCTGCCCCCGCAAGGACTACCAAGGCGGCAACAAACGAAAACATAGATAATAACATATTAAAACCAAACGGAAAAATCCCTGAAACATCCTTTAAACAGTTAAAACCAGAGCTAAAATACACGTAAAAACATAGAAATAACAATTTTAAAAAATAGGCACCTACTGACAGAAGATGGCAACAGAAGGGGAGTTTTTCTTAGGAGCTGTAATATTTCTGGGTCCACAGATGGACTAACAGAATGAGAATAGTGTAATACAGCTTTAAATACAAAAAGCAGCTAAAACGTCTTGTATAGTCTGTATGCCTCATTCTAGAACAAACTAAGGTTGTGTGATCTTAGGGCAAATCCACAAATTACAAGTTCCTTAACACTGTAAATGCAAGGGATTGTGTCTAAATTGCAAATTCTGTCACTAGAGTGTAAAAGTGGCTCTGACCTTTTAAATTCGCTAGTGATTTCCTCCACTGTACATACTGTTGCATTGAGGGGGGAGAAAGTTGCTTCACAGAGAGAGAGAGAGAGAGCGCTTTAGGAGCAAAAATGAAATGGCAACATGCCCATTGTGCTGTATAGCGTAATTGCACAATATGGTCCCAAATCAAACATAGCTTTCTTTCGACAATGTAAAGAGTTTGAGTCGCTTCACAGTTCACTGAAATCACGTGAAGCCACACTCTGCTGATGACATGTCTGTATAATGCTGATGTTGCAGTTGAATTATCACTTGTGCTGTTCCTCAGCTGATTTCACAAATCGAGCACATTGCTTCAGTGTGGAAGCGGTCACGTTATATCCACCAGGCATATGGATTCACTCTCCCCACCTACCTCAAGTATGTACAGCAGGGAGCTTTCAACACGTATTTTGCCCCTAGTCCCTCAACGAGAACCGTATTCTTTGAGTTTATGATAACTGCTTAAGTAACAGTAACGCAGTTAAACTGTTTCATCTCCTTTATGCTAAATATTAATGTGAGTTGCTGTGTAATTTATTGGGATTAAAATAATTGATGCTGGGATTTTCAGGCTGCATAGAATATGCTTTGCAGTGGTTGGAATTACTGCACTATGCTGCACTGGTTGGCTGGAGGATGCAGAGAGAATAGTGACTTAAAGCCCACTGCTGAGCTCATGGCAAAGGCAGGGTTCCCATTTTATGCCTTCATGCACATAAGCCTCCACGTGAATGTCAAGCCTGCATACATATATTCCTTCCCCCTGGCCCATTGACTTTTTCTGAAAAATAAATATTTGCTTTCTGATGCACGTAATGGGCCAGAAATACAGTGGTGGAGCTGTTTCCACATGACAAGATACTGTACAGCCCTCAAAGAGGAGTTAGGTCTGTTGCATAATTAAAAACTTGAAATGGGAGGTGGCCATCCAATGTTAATTGGGGAAGGAACTGGTTTTGCTGCACATAACCATTCTTTTCTAGGATGCCCACTCAAAATGCTCCTACACCAGTTTGGTGTAGTGGTTAAGAGCACAGACTCTAATCTGGGAGAATCGGATTTGATTCCCCACTCCTTCACATGCAGCTGCTGGTGTGTCCTTCGGTCAGTCACAAGTTCTCTCAGAGCTGTTCTCTCAAGGCCAGTTCTTGTGATAGCTCTCTCAGCCCCACCTACCTCACAGGGTGTCTGTTGTGGGGAGGGGAAGGGAAAGGGATTGTAAACAGCTCTGAGACTCCTTTGGGTAGTGAAGGGCAGGGTATATATCCAATCTCCTCTTCTTTTTCTTCTCCTGATGTGGGAATTGTGGGGAAAGCTAGGCTGTTTTGTAATGACTGCAATACAGATTGCTTGTTTGTTTGTTTCTCAGTGTTTGAGCAACATCTTCTACTTGGTTGGAGCATAGTTAAGTCTACATAATAAAATAGTAAAGAGGTAACCAAAAGAAGTAACCAAAAAAAAAAAAGAAGTAATAAAAACAGCAGCAATTTTTAGAAAATACAGACATGCAAATTTTGCAGGTGTATAGGTCTGATGATGGACTTTGGAGCAACACCTGGAGAAACTAAAGCAGTTCTCTTTATTCATCCTTGCCTGTAAGACATTTGAATCTCCTGGTAGTATCTAGATTTCATTGTGCTTCCCCCTAGCTGATTTGGTTCTCATCATGTTACACTGAATAATAAATCTGTACAACTACTTTCAAGCAGTTTAAGGATTAGGGAATTAAATATTCCATTTTAAATCTGTTCTGGAGTAACAGAAGCTGAATTGATTCATGTTCCCAGGGTTTTAAAGCTTTTTAAGATGTTCAAGTGAAGTTCAGTGTGGTTAAATGTTTTTCTCTGAATTTTGTGTTGTTTTCCAGCTACTACTTCTACATGTGTGACAAAGTGGTTGCTCCCAACGTATCTCTTACCTCTTCCGTATCGCAATGTAAAGAAGCTGCGAAAACAGTGGAGAAGATTTCAGAAGTAATCAAATCTCTGCCTGGGCAGTCGGTAAAACCGCACAGTGCCGGCAAGCGCAAAAAAGCCATTTTCTATCAAGACAGCTGTCTTGAAGTACAAAACAAAGTTGATGTGAAACTTGGTGCAGAAGTGTGCACTAGTTTAGGTAAGTGAGAAAATGAAAATTTGAAACTCTTAAATTTTTGTATATCGTAACACTCTCTTAGGGATTTCAGCAAATGACTTGTTTTCCTACATTTTCATCCTCTACAGAGCAGCCTATGTCTACTAAACCCACGAACAGAAGGAAAGCTGAACAGATCCCCTCCAAAACATCTATAGAAGATACAGAGGGAGAATCAAACAGCGATGCACAATCGTCAGCTCAGCCTCTTACAAATGGTATTGGTTGTGAAGACGACAAAGGGAAAATTATGGAAGAAGTCATGAAAACGTATATAAAGCAGCAAGAAAAGCTACATACAATTTTGCAAAAGAAGCAGCATCTCCAAATGGTATGGCATTAGTGTATTTTTAGCTATTCTCTGTCTTTAGAAAACTGCTTTGTCATGTTACCTTTCATAGCGGTTGCAGGCAAACATGTATTGTTACTACAAACAGTGCAGAGAGACAAAGACACAAAGGGACTTGGCTGGCCATTTCGAATGACAGTACGTTAAAAAAACTGGCATTGTTGAAACGATCAGACTTTAGATGCGGCTGAAGTAATTTTTCAAGTGCCGAAAATCACCATCTTGAGGTGGTATCACTTTTTTTAAGTTCTTAGAGGCAAAATGTATAGTTTCTTACATTACTATGGGGGGGTTGGTGCTTCTGTGCTAAGGCAGTGTGGGTGGCACAGAGAGAACACATGGATGTATGAAGCTGCCTTATACGAAACCAGACCATCAGTCCGTCAAGGTCAGTGTTGTCTACTCAGACTGGCAGTGATTCTCCCTCTCTGGAGGTCTTTTACGTCACCTGCCACCTGATTGTTTTAGCTGGAAATGCTGGGGATTGAACCTGAGACCTTCTGCATGCCAAGTAGATGCTTTACCACTGAGCCACAGTCCCTCCCCACAGAGAGAGAAAGAGAGACTTTGTGCACAGTGTAAAAGTGTCTATCTAGAAGTTCGTTCTCATGGTAATTGTTCAGGGATTTTCACAAGAAGTAAAACAAGGATCTGTGTTAGAAGCCTGGAAGAATAGGTATTATTTCAATCACTAGGCACCTAACTGAAGCACTTTAGAGAAACCAGGTGAAGAAACACTGTAATAGCTTCTTTTAGGCACATGATTAATATAGGCATGCGTGGGCAGGACGGCTAGCATAAGATTCTGCTCGCTATGAATTTTTGTGGATTTGTGAACGAGCCTGAACTCACTACAGCCAATAGCATTTCAAGTGGCATGCATAAGAAAAAAGCCCTATGCCTCTACTCTAGTGTGGGGGAAATCCTTCAGTATTTCTTAGTATTTATAGTGGTCCACTGTTGCTCGATGCAGTGGGGAAGCATTGGGAAGAACTTACAGTTAACACAACTCGTGCACTGTACTCTTTACAAGATTCATAGAGACAAGGGCTGACTGAAGAAATTAGGAAGATGTAGATAGGATAGGTAAATGGGAAGGCAGCAGACAGGCTCTTGTGGTCCAGGGGAGGACTATTTCTCTAGCACACCTCATGGGATTCATAGAGAAAGTCATAGCTCACTTTCCTGGGAGTAAGCCTCAATGAATAGTCTTGAGTAGGATTCTGAGTAGACCTGCTTAGGATTGCTCTTTTACTTGGGCGTAAAAAAAAATTACAGGTAGCCATGATCATGTGTTAGGGACCCCCCCCCTCCAAATCAGCACTTAATTTCCTTTAATTCTGATTCAAATGTTACTTGGACCCTGAGCACATTTATTATTTAGTAGAGTCTGAGTCTCTTAAAGGCATATTACAGGGCAGCCATGTATCAAGGCCAGACATGTCTAGGCTTCCCAAGTCCCCCCCGGGGGGGGGGAACCCCGCCCCAGAGGCCCGTTCTCAGCCACTGGCGGATCGGGCCCCGGGGGGAACCCCACCCCGACGTGCGCGTCACCCGGAAGTGACGCAACCACGCGGGCACGCTGGGGGCGGGGCCACGGTCATCCGAGGGAAAAGTCTATGGTTTTCCCTCAGATGGTCGTGGCCCCGCCCCCAGTGTGCCCGGCGTCATCACATCACTTCTGGGTGACGTGCGCGCATGCGCTCCAGCCGCAGCACGGGAGTCCCCTGGTAAGGAACTATTTCGACTTGGCAACCCTAGACATGTCTATAATGTCTCTTTACGAGATCTGTTATCTTAGTTGCATGTAGTCTTACTCTGAGTTCCTCGGAACTATTTTTTGCCTTAAAAGGTAAGGATGAGGACAGGAAAAGGAGAAAAAGTTGCTCTGGGACATGGCTGCAAGACATCATCTTCTGCTGTAGTGGACATACTCAGGGCTTTCCCATCATATCTTGAAAAATACCCTTCTCCTCCTTAAACTGAATATCCAGCCTGTTGTGTTTTTTAAACAAAAATTGGTGGGGAGAAATACTTGGAGATTAGTACTGGCTTTTCTAAAGTAATTTTTTTCTACAATTTATTCCATCATCATCTTCTTGCATCCTGCACTAGTGTTTGTGATTTGCTGTGTGTGTGTGTGTGTGTGGGGGGATTTCTAATTGAAGTCTTGTCAGTGAAAGCAACTTTAGGGCACAGAGGTTTTTATTTATTTAATACAGTGCTTTATTTAACAGAAAAGGAGCTGCGGTGGCTCAAGTGGTTAAGATGCTGAACTGCAGGCTGTGGAAGGTCGGTAGTTCAGCAGTTCAAGACCCGAGTTGCCGCATGACGGAGTGAGCTCCCGTCTCTAATTCCAGCTCCTGCCAACCTAGCAGTTTGAAAGCAAGAAATTGCAAGTAGATAAATAGGGTACCACTTTGGTGGGAAGGTAACAGCATTCCATGTGCCTTGGTGTTTAGTCATGCTGGCCACATGACCACGGAAACGTCTTTGGACAGCGCTGGCTCTTCGGCTTTGAAACGGAGATGAGCACTGCAACCCTAGAGTCAGACTCGACTGGCTTTCGAGCAAGGGAACCTTTACCTTTACCTTATTTAACAGAACAGTCAGTGTCATGCTGTTGGAGTCCAAACTTTGTAGAAGTTTTCAATAGTTATTGCTGTGCAACTGTAGCTGTGAATAAGACATCTGGAACATTTTCAGGAATTTGCATGTGAAGGCACATAACCTAGTTACAGGAGAGTGCAAGAAAGTTACGAGGAGAGGCTTGCGAGAGGCCAAAACAGCTGCCCTCTGGCTGCTTCTGGTAACTTTTACTTTCCTGCTTCTCATCATTTCAGCATACCAGAAAGTGACAGCATACCAGAAAGTGGCCTGAAAATGACTGCAGAGGTCCATCTTGGTAAAGCTGAAATGATGAGAAGCAGGTCAAACAAAGCTCCCTCAGGCTGTTCTGCTGACCTTGCAGCTGGCTGCATTACATCCTACTATGCTTTTAACCACTTTCTGGTTGTTTCCATACATGCACTTCCTAATTGTGCTGAGGAAATACGCAGGAAATACTATTCCACGGTTCAGCGGCTCCATGAGGGAGTTGGTGCCGGTGATGGTAGCTTTCTCCAGGAAGTAGTGCTGTGAATATGGCTCGTCTTCAGCCTCCTTAGTAGTTTTATGTATCCTACAGGTGCTGAAAGTCTTGGTTTATCCTTAAGATGAAATAAATTAAATTAGAACATTTGTGTCCATTTACGTTATGTTAACTATGGCCCACCTTTCTCAGCAGTGGTCCCCATAGGGTATAATGAAGCAAAAAAAAAGGTGTGTGTGGGGGTGTTTCCTGAATATTTTCTGAATCTAAATACCATACCGGTATTGGGATTTGGGAATATCAGGAAATATCGATATTTTTTGGGTTTAATATACCCGAACACAAAAAATACTGGAGTTTCCCTGTATTCCCCCCCCCCCCCTGACTTTCCCTGGGGTTTTTTGCACACCTCTAGATGAGACATTCGGTAAATAACATGATAGGATTAGGGTCGTAGAGCCAACCAGAAATCTGAAAGACAGAACTGAAGCAAAGCATAACATGATACATTAAATGATGCAAAATTACATAGTAGGATCCTACTTAAAGCAAACTGTATACAGTAATATACGTAATATATCCGTAATCCCTAATAATTTATCCAGGTAACTTTGTGAATCGTTTTGTGCAGTTCCTGGCGTAGAAAAGCCCTTTTGAATAATTAAGCTTTGCAAAGTATATGAAAGGCCAGGAGGGTGGGAGCCTTCCTTGACCGCCTGAGGCAGGGTGCTACAGTGGAGAAGCCACATTTAAGGGACGCTGTTGATGTTGCCCATTTGTAGGTTGGCACCCACAGAAAGCCCTGCTCAGATGAGCGAAGCTTTCATGAAGGGGTGGGGTAGCCGTTTTGGTCTGGAGCAGCAGAACAAGGTTTGAGTCCATTGTTGGCCTTAAAGGGGCCACTGGGTTCAAACTTTGTTCTAAAGCTTTCATGGTGGCCCATAGGAGGATAGATAGATCTTGTGGGTATGAGGGTCAAGGTCTGTGAAGAGCTCTGTAGGTGGTAGCCGGTCATTTAAATTGAACATGGGAACTGATGGGCAACCAGTGGAGTGGCTGCAGAATGGAAGTGATACGCGTGCTCCGTCTAGCTCCGTATAATAGCTGACCCGCAGCAAGCAGCAGCGAAGTGCTCGACAGTTAGGGAGCATAAGAACATAAGAGAAGCCAATGTTCAATCAGGCCAATGGCCCATCCAGTCCAACACTCTGGGTGCGTTCAGACGGGGCGTTTCAGCCGGCATAAACTGTACCGGTTGGAACCGGTGCAGTTTATGCCGGCTGAAACGCAAGCACACTTATCTCCTGTCTGCGGAGCCCATCGCTGTATGCCTGTTCACACACAGCAGGCATCGGCGGTTTTTGTTTTAACACAGTTTGCGCATGCGCATAGTCAGCCATCCACAGAATGGCGATCTTCACGCATGCGCATAACACCCCATCCTACATTTAAAGTTTAAAGGTAAGGACTTACCTTTAAAGTTTAAAGAGCAAAGTGGCCTCCCGGACTCCTCTAAAAGTTAAACTAAGGACCTTTTCTTTTTATCTTTAAACAAACGCTGGGGCGAAGCTTCGCCCAAGCGCATATTGCTGACCTAAAAAAAAAATGGTGGGCGAAAATCGGAGGCCTTGGGCTTCCGAACGGAAGTGGCTCTACAACGTTGGAGAGCAATCAGACGGGGGTAAAGCGATTACAACCGTTGCACTCAGGATACCACCACTTGGGGACCTAGTGGCAGAATACAACGGTTTAAAGGTCTTTGCAACGGTTAGGGACGGAAGGCAGATGTTCGCCGTGTGAACCCCGGTAAGTACACCGATTCCAACCGGCACCTATACCGTTGCAAATGCCCCGTCTGTGTCACCCTCTGTGTCACGCAGTGGCCGAAAATACCAAGTGCCAACAGGAGGTCCAGCAGTGGGGCCAGGACACTAGAAGCCCTCCCACTGTTGCCCCCTCCTGAAGCACCAAGAATACAGTGCATAAAACAAAGCAAGTTTTAAGAATAGCCCTTTTCAGTTTTCCAGAGCTCAAAATAAATACAACAAAGCTTTTTTGAATGGCATCTGGTGTTCATGAGCATGTTGTTCAAGTTACATTAATTAATGCACCAAGAATGCAAATTTAGCTGTAAGTCATCATTTTCATGCTGCGTTTCTGAAATGGTCTACTGAGCTGAACAAATTGCAGTTGCGGGCGTGAGAAAGATTTTGGCATATATATCAAACAATCCAGTTTTTATTGCAGAAGCCAGACATATTGTGCATTTTTTCCAAGATAAGAAAAGCTTTCAAAGCATGTCAAAAATTGTCAGTGCTCTGTCTTGTTTCAGTTAAGTACAACAGAATTTGAGGGTTTGCGCTGCATAGCAATGATAATCACCATTGAAGTTTACAATATAGAAATAAGCCTTTCTGGTATTGGAAATATTGTGTCTTACTCTGCCATTGTCTTCACAGGAAGTAGAGATGTTAAGTAGTTCCAAAGCCATGAAGGAGTTAACGGAAGAACAGCAGAATTTACAAAAAGAACTTGAATCTTTGCAGACTGAGCATGCTCAAAGAATGCAAGAATTTTATGTTGAGCAGAGGGACTTGGAGAAAAAGTTAGAGCAGGTAATAAAGCAAAAGTGTACCTGCGACTCTAACTTGGAAAAGGACAAGGAAGCAGAGTATGCAGCTCAGGTAAGCAGAAAATAATAGTTTTATTTCAGCTTTACAACAGTCTGTAGGCACAGTGATCTGTGAAAGTTTTGATGCCGTTGTTCTATTTATTTAATTCATACCTTGCCTTTCTCTCCCTTGGGGATCCAAAGTGGCTTACATCTTTCTCCTCTCCTCCATTTTATTCTTGCAACAGCCCTGTGAGGTAAGTTAGGTTGAGGCAGTGTGACTGGCCCAAGGTCACCCACAGAGCTTCTGTGCCATGAGTCCGGACTCAAACCTGGGTCTCCCAGATACTAGCCTGACACTCTTAGCCATTACACCACACAGAAGGCACAATAGCATGGTCTGTCGTGTGTTTGGTTGGCTTTGTCCTGATTACATTCCCATTAGGGAGCAAGTCATCTCCCAACGCATTTTCATCGCTCTTAGAATGCTAGGGAGCCAGATGTGTTCTGCAGACAGGGAGGGGAGCAGACATATCAACCGCCTGAGTCATCTCTGCATTCCAGTAATTGGCTCAGTTTTTGACAGGAGCGTCAGTCTCTGTCTGCTGAAAACACTCCAAGGGCTGGCAGGAATCTATCAGTCTCTGAGGGTGGACCATTCTAGTCACCCATCCTCTGTGATTATAGTCTGGTTTTGTTAAACATTTGATTATCACCTCCAGGATGACAAATAGAAGCATGGTATCAAGATGATCATGCATGCGGTGGTGTAGTCGACAGTTCTTTTCTTTTTTTTAAAGATAATACTCGCAAAGTATTTTGGTAGAATAAAGTTAAACTAAACTCTTCTTTAGTATTAGCCAGCATTCATACATTTGTGCCTCAGTTCTGTAAAGGGTTTTTCAAGGTTTTTAATTTTTTCTGTTACTCAGTAGGAATGTGTACCATGTAGAATTTATAGGCTCTCTGTACTGGGTCCAAGTCTGTGAAATTTAAATACCTAAACATACGTTTTTCTGGAACCTGGAAACATTTGCTTTTTCTGGAAACTTAATTAAATCTGAGGTGTCCCCTCCGTCAGCCAGCCTAATATGCTTTTGATTTATTAAACTCTTCTGTAGCACTTCATCGTGCAAAGCCATTTGCAATCCTCAGTTTAGTAATTCTCAGTAATGTGCAACTGAGGCCCACATTCTGCTGCTCGTTGTATTTTAGATTTGAAAGCATCAGATTCAAAAATCTAACTAAGTGCTTTATGCACTGATCTCCCAAAGGAAATTTCTTGTCTCTAATCCTTTAAAAAAAAAACCCACCACACAACTAAAACAATCAGAGCCTTCATATTCCAGCCGCGGAGACTTGAACAGCCTGAGATGATATTGTGCAGGTTTTTGGGCCCTCCTACATTTGGAACGGAGCTGCGGTGGCTCAAGTAGTTAAGACGCTGAACTGCAGGCTGTGGAAGGTTGGTAGTTCAGCAGTTCGAGACCTGGGTGCTGCATGATGGAGTGAGCTCCCGTCTCTAGTTCCAGCTCCTGCCAGCCTAGCAGTTCGAAAGCAAGAAATTGCAAGTAGATCAATAGGTACCACTTCGGTGGGAAGGTAACAGCGTTCCATGCGCCTTGGTGTTTAGTCATGCCGGCCACATGACCATGGAAACGTCTTCGGACAGCGCTGGCTCTTCGGCTTTGAAACGGAGATGAGCACCACAACCCTAGAGTCGGACTCGACTGGCTTTCGAGCAAGGGAACCTTTACCTTTACCTTTACCTTTTACATTTGGAACATTGACGCTGCCTTACACTGATTCAGTCCATTGGTCTACTCTGATTCAGTTCTGTCTTCTCTGGCAGGAAGTAGGTGTCCTGGGTTTCAGGCACAGATCTTTCACACTACCTGCTGCCTGACCCTTTTAAATGGAGATGCCAGGGATTCGTCAGATCTTGTCCCACTGAGCTTACAGCCCCACAGCCACAGAGTATATTTGCGTTGCCTATAAATGTCTTGCATTGATAGGAGCAGGGAAATGAATAGGAAGTAATCGTCTTTAAGATTTTCCCCATCAGTGTTGGTCCATCTCCCTCCTTATCCTTACTTTTATTCCCTTTTTCGTATTTCTGTGGAAGCTTATTTCATATCGGCCCCGTTCTTCCATTTTTCTTGAGCTGAGTCTTAATCTTATTAGCCCCACTTAAAAAAAAAAAGACTCACTTATTCTTCATTGACTGCTACTGTTTAACTTTCTGTCCATCCTCATTACTGCTTGATCACACCTCAGCTTATCCCTCCCCCCCCTTTTTCTCGTGGTAATTTGCATTCTGATCCCCAGTGCCTTTTCCTTTAAGAAAGGGCCAGTCCACACAGCCGCGTTAGTTCTTCGTGTGGAAGGGAGCCTTGAGCTCCTGCCCCCTGCCCTGTGGGCATGTGTGGCCTTTTGATGGGAACTGGGGCTTTCGTGATCAGGTGCCTCTTTGTAAAGGATCTCCTGCTCGCTCTTCTTGCAACAACACGGATCCCACGGATTGGGTTCACTCACATGGCCGTTTGTGCATAGCTGCTGTTCTTATTAAAACTTAGATTGGAATGCCTCTCCGGGTGAGAATACTTTGTGGCATTTCGGTAGTGAAGAAAACCTGTTATGTGAAAGCATTCCACTAGATGGCTTCTGTAGATTGCTAACTCAAGAGGAACCACAGTCCGCATGCATGCTTCCTAGGCAAATGGCACTGAGTCACAAGCCAGGTTCTGTATCAAGTACAGTCTAACGCTTCGCAGAGCAGATTGTTTTAGGGAGCTAAGCAGGGTCAGCCACAGTCAGTACTCGGATGGGCGACCACCAAAGAAGACTGGGGCTGCCATGTAGTGGCAGATAATGGCAAACCACCTCTGCTCATCCCTTGCCTGGAACACCTCGTGGACGGGGTTGCCATAAATTGGTTGTGACTTGACAGCGCGTTTCTTCCTAGGTGATAGAATGTATTATGATAAAGGTGTCCTGGCAGGCAGTGTTCCCTCTAAGCTGAGTTAGTGTGCCCTAGCTCACAGTTCTTTAGCCTCCGGCTCACACATTTTTGTCTCAGCTCAGGAAGGATGGCTCTAGAACAGACTAATTTATGCAGTAGTCGAATCGCTCGCTCACAACTTTAATGCCGGCGGCTCACAAAGTAGAATTTTTGCTCACAAGACTCCACAGCTTAGAGGGAACACTGCTGGCAGTGTTCTTGCCTCCTGGGGTTCTTACCTCCTGTTTAACACTCCTGGCTAGAAACAGTGTTACCAGGTGCCCATTGCTACCAATACAGCAGCATTGCCTGAATCCAGTGTTTTCTCTCTGCCCCCCCCCCTCGTTCATAGAATAAACTCCTTTTTCACTGTCCATATACTTGATAATATAGGTAATCAGAGACTTGGTTTCAGTAGAACCCTGCTAGAATAAGTTCTCTTCCATTTGAAAGGAAAGATTTCCTTAGCTGTAACCTGGAATAGTCCCTGTAGCGTTCCCCTTCTTGACTCTCATCACGCAGTATCAAGTGACCAAGTGCCCTGTTTGGCCTGAGCTCTGCATTGGTACGGATTCTGAGCTGAAGCCCGTGACCTGAAAGGGAGAGCAGGCGTTTCACCCTGTTTAGCTGCATTGTCAGAGATCGTTCCCATTGCTCGTATACGTGACTGCATGCGGACGTCTCTTGGAGGTTAACAGTTACAGGAAGTAAATTCCTTGTTTCTTAAGTTAATGAAAAGAAGAGAAAACTTAAAAAATGCTTTGGAACTATTCAGTTTATTAAGGCCCAGCATGATGGGAGTTTAAACTGAGCTGTGTGTGTGTACACGCTCGCACCCACCTCTGGTATTTCCTGTTAAAAGAATTGGGTAGCGGTAGATGTGAAAGACCTCTGCCGGAGACCTTGAAGAGCTGCTGCCTGTCAGAGTAGAAAAGTCTGCCCTGTATAGACCAGTGGTCTGACTTGGTATGGGACAGATTTTTGTGTTTAGAGTAGGAAAAAGTATATGATGCTTGGTATTTAGAACCAAGTTTAAAGTTTAAGCAGTACTACTGTGGTGGCTCAAGTGGTTAAGACGCTGAACTGTAGGCTGTGGAAGGTCGGTAGTTCAGCAGTTCGAGACCCGAGTTGCCGCATGATGGAGTGAGCTCCTGTCTCTAGTTCCAGCTCCTGCCAACCTAGCAGTTCGAAAGCAAGAAATTGCAAGTAGATAAATAGGTACCACTTCGGTGGGAAGGTAACAGTGTTCTGTGTGCCTTGGTGTTTAGTCATGCCGGCCACATGACCACGGAAACATCTTCGGACAGCGCTGGCTCTTCGGCTTTGAAACGGAGATGAGCACCGCAACCCTAGAGTCGGACTCAACTGGCTTTCGAGCAAGGGAAAACTTTACCTTTACTTGTCTTGTATAATTCATAATCTACAATAAAAATATTAACTTGAACATTAATTTTAGACAGTTACAGCTGCCTCCTTTAACTTTAGTTTGCTACTTCCTCAGTTGTTGGTCCCCCTCTGAAGTTGGGCCTCCTTTTGGTTGTCTTTTGTGATCTGTTTTTTTTGCTAAAGACCCAAAGGCTGGGATGTGGCCCTAGGGGGCTCTTGGTGGCTGGTACTATGTACAGTCTGCCTCAGCATAGCAGTCCTTAGGATCATCCTGTTAGCTACATTGGTTTGGATCCTAACGCTGGTTGCTGGCATAATGAATTTATGCTACAGCCAGTATGGTGTAGTGATTAGGAGCGCAGACTCTAATCTGGGAGAACTGGGTTTGATTCCCCACTCCTCCACATGCAGCTGCTGGATGACCTTGGGTTAGTTAAAGTTCTTTCAGAGCTGTTCTCTCAGAAGCAGTTCTCAAAAGAGCTCTCTCAGCCCTACCTACCTCATAGGGTGTCTGTTGGGGGGAGGGGAAGGGAAAGGTGATGGTAAACTGCTCTGAGACTCCTTCAGGTAGTGAAGGGTGAGTTAAATCAAATCTCTTCTTCTTTTAGAGGGAAAGTACAGAGTGTTTTTTTTTCAGTTCCACTCTCCTCCACTATTCTGAGGGGTCTGCCAACATCCAGGCCATGATTATGGGAGGCATATCATGTTGCAGGGTGGTGGTGGTGTCAAAGTTTGTTTCCATTCATGCTAATTCGGATTCAAGCCACTGAGATGAATGTCAAATACGGTGTTGTTTCAAAAACCAGTACGTGGCTCTAGAGTTATGTTATCAGGATATATTTGGAAGTTCTTTCAGCCTTTTATTTCTTTCTTTGAATCCACAGTTAGCAGAACTGAGACAGAGGCTGGATCACGCCGAGGCAGACAGGCAAGAGCTGCAAGATGAACTGAGACAGGAGCGCGAAGCGAGACAAAAATTAGAGATGATGATCAAGGAACTGAAGCTTCAGATTCAGAAGTCTTCGAAAAGCAGCAAAGGGAAATAGAGCGCTTGGAGACAGGGTGGTGTTGTGTGTCCGCATTATCCCAACAGGGTTAATATATCGAGGATAAGTCAAGTCATGGATCCGCAAAAGGCATTGGGGATGGTCCAGAGGGAGCGTCTCTTGTGCAAGCAGCACCATTTAAGTAGGAGTTGTGCCATCTCCAGCAACTTAGACAAAGTTCTGCACAAGAGAAGTTCCCGACAGATGGTGCCCAATGTATACATTATAAATCTGTATCGATATAACCTCTGTACAGTTTGCAGATGGACAAAAATCTGTGTCTGTGCTGCGGCCACTGCTCTTTTTTGACAGTTACGAGCAGCGTGGAAACCTTGTGCTTTACGGTGCTCAGTGTTTATGCAGCAAGCTGTCCTGAGGGCTCTAAACCTTTGCTGAAAGCAGCTTTATTTTACTCAAAAGTATGCAGCATCCATGTTACTTGCTTTTTCTGTTGCATGGGATCCATTCACGTCAAACTTTTTAAAAAATAGTTCCAGGAATCTAAAAAACAGAGGAAACCGATTGAAGAGAAATTGTTCCCTTGCACCGTTCTACTTTGATATTTTATGCTGCAATGGGGAGAGAATTGATGACTGAAATTCATTCAGGAGTCCTGACACTTTTTCAAATGCTGATTTCCCCCCCCCAAACTGTTAACTTCTGCTGTCTATGCCAACAATTAACTGTTAAATGCCAAATGTCAATTTATTTTTGGTACCCTTTTGAATGCTGTTATGAAAAAAGGTGTTGTTGAAATGGAGTTATAGACATTGTAAAGTACCAAAACCATCTGTGGACTCTCGGTTATTGTTGAAGAGAGCCCGATAGGGAATCTTGATACTGTCCTTTTGAGCGTTACTAAATAGCTTGAAAATGTCAGCCTGATTTGTAAAGTGGCAATTTAACCATCAAGAGGGTGGATTACTGCACTAGCAATAAGGTTTCTGTGTGTGGAATTTTTCCTGAGTGCCTGGAAGTGGGCGGTCTTGACATTTTTATATTAGTAAAGCACTGAAGGGAGAGCAAACAGTGACTCTGGTGTTGTGAAAGTGATTTTTTTAAAAAATAGCAACGTAGACATTGCTGACATTTGAAAAGTAATTAAACTGAGGAGCAGGTAAACTGTTGTTTCTTCTGCAAAGGAATATTAAAGTCTTCATTGGTGCATCTGACGTCAGGATCACAATAAACCCAGTGCCACTTCAGGAAACATTCATTTCCGAGTTTTAGTGATTAGAAACTGATTCACGGAAGAGGATAAAGGACTTGATGTTTGTTTGTTTGTTTTAAAGTCCTTCTACAAAGAACTTTATTGGGCAAAGTTTTGTTGAGGCGGAAAGCTGAGAGGATCTTTTGATCAGCACCATCCTTCCATTAGGCAAAAGAAAAGAGAGTGTCATTTTACAGGGAAAGCACAATAGGTTACTTCCATAGATTAATTTGGTGCAGGTAGTACACAGAATTAAATATATACAGTTTTAATGAGTTGGAGGGTAGTAGAGAATTTGTTGGAGAGATTATGATGTTCTGAAAAGCAGCTTCAGAGCTTCGAGCATAAATAGAAACATAAGCAATATATTTTGCGAACATTTTAAACTTCTTTGCCTTGATCTAGCTTTAGGTATTGTGTGGGACTGGTAGTGTGTGTGAGGGTGTATGTTGCCGTGTCCTTGAGTTTCCATGAACAGTTGGCAATGCAGACAGAAATGCTCATTTATACATATAATGAACACAGGTTTACGGGCCCTTCTGTTGTAGGTGCACCTGGAAGCCCACATGTGTGTGCAAATCTCCCTGGACTGATAGAACACCTTACACTCAATTCTTTGTATATGCATCATACCACAGCCAAATTTGTGATTTTAAATCACGTCATTTATTATTTCCATTGATACGTGCTGCTTACTATAAAAATCAGAGAGCGCAAAGCAATTTAGAGGTGTGAGACAAAGACCACGTTTATCCTCCTCAAAGGGCCAGGAGTGCAGACCTGCCAGGTCTCTTCTGTGAGGGGATTCCACGGAGCCACCACTTAAAAGTCACCTCTTGAAGACAATAGTTTTATCTGCCTCAGTGCAGGGGCTTGTAATCCTCAATGCTTGAATTGCTATTTTTTTGGGGGGGGTGGTTTAAAGGGAGACAGCAGCTCATATGGGAGAGATTGTCCTTGAATTGTCACAGGCTCAGGGGTTTGAAGGTAAAAGAGACAAATTAAATTTAGCTTGAAATCCTCTAGAAGCCATAATAACTTTCACAGAATCAATTTAAAATGTTGCCTGCATCCCTGGACAGCAACTGAGTCAATCACATTCTGGTTTAGTTGAAGTTTACAGACTGTCGTCAAGGGCAGGTCCACACAGAGCACATTAAAGCAGTCCAGCTGACGTTACCAGAAACTTGAGCATGCTGGGAAGACCCTTATAATCCAGAAAGGGGTGTGGGGCTGGAGCACCCACTGAAGCGGGTGAAAATTTCTGGGCAGAAAAAGGAGGAAAGGAAAACAAAAAGCAATATCTCCTAAAAAATACAAAACCCTCATTTCTGATCAGAGATTCTGCCTGAAAATCTAGGAGCACAGATGCATCTGGGAACCACACTTAAGCTACAAACCCTAACCTCTGAAAAAGTGGGTGAGGCAGGCAGACAGCAACCTCTAACGCAGATCCACTTCCTGAGTCTCTCGGCTTCCCACCATTAGCAGCTCCTTGCGTGGACTGAGTTGCGTTTGTTCACCCTCCTCCCGTTTCCAGACATACCTAGCTGTAGCACTTATATCTGATGGAAAAGAAGTAGAAATGAATATTGATGCTCCACCCCCCCCCCAAATCTGGGTAAAGAGCACGAAGGATAGGAAGGTGAGTTTGTGGGCCAAGTTCAAGAGCTAATGAAAATAGTCGTGTAAATTCTTCCTCATCTACTCAGTTTTCAGCCCAACCCACAAAGCTTTTAAAAAGTCCTGGCCCAGTAAAAGCTGGAGTCTTGTGGTCAGATGACAGCCAGCTACTGAAATACTTAAATTTATTCTGCTTGAAAGGTGATTTTAAGCTGCTGCTGCTGCTAAGTGTTCTGTGCGGTCAGTTCTCATAGTGTTTCCCCAGGATTTGGGGGGTGGGGGGGGAATTAATGATTCATTTCTTATTCTGCCTGAAGAACTTGTAACTCTGTCTTCTGCCCGTCTACCTGCTGTTTCAATAATGCTGAAGAAATGGTTAAAATACGATGTGAACTGGATTGTTTGGCATCCTTTGGTAATATTCCACTAGAGCAAGTGGATATGAAAATATTTTCTGTTGCCATTGTTGAATATTTAGGCATCTTCCATGTGTGTCATGTAGGTTTTTACTTTTAGGGAAGGGATATTTGTTCACTCCATATGAAATAACTCTTCTGCTAAAACATTTTGTTGTTCCTGGTAACATATCACATACAGTTTTTGGTATGACAGGTAGATTTATATAGCATATGGTTCTGTTTTATACCCTCAGTTATCCTGGTTAATAGCCCCTGAATTAATTTCTTCTTTTTATGTTCAAGAGCTGTCAGCTCTCACTTTCTTAAATCATGGGTGTGTGATCAGGTAAATGCAAATGGGTGACCCTTTTTGACGGGGTGCACTTTACAATGACCTGCAAATAATCCAAGCACTTGGGAATTCCTGGTTTATGTGGTCTGGAGAGAATGACTGAAGCTTGATTCTCTGTGTGTCATTTGCACTTCTAAAAACTGAAAAATATATTTTTGGAAATGGCCAACACAGGGTGCAGTGTGTTTTTAAGTTCCCCAGCTCTGTATTGTATTTTTTTTGGTGTTTGCTGCTGGTTGTCAGAGATAGAAGGCACCACTGATTGTTTTGCAGTTTCAAATTGAACGTCCTATCACAATAAGATGATGAATACCTTTTTATCCACAACAGAAGGGCCAGTTCAGATATTACGATTTGTTCTCACACAGGTTGCCCCGATTGCTTCAGAAAACATTCTCATATGCAGAGATGGAAGGTGTTAATCAGTGTTTCCTGTTGACAGTGGGAAATGTTGCTTTAATTGTGGAGGTTGCTGACAACCAACTAACGGTGGTCTCCATAAACGAGAACTGTAATGTTTGAACTGGCCTTGAGGTGAGACTGGAGCTCTGAGAAGAGGTAGCAGACCACTTGGGTAGTGAACTTGTAGTTAACACCTCCTTTCCTTCCCTGAATACAAAGGGAAGCCAGGCACAGCCTAGAATTATTTCAGTGCATTACAAGGCGAGTAATATTTTAGCTTTTTGAATAGGAAAAAAAAATCCTTTCTGAGCATTTCTGTAATAGAATATTTTTTCCTGCTGACTGCTGAAAATGTCCAGTAATGGAGAATGGTTTTATAATGTATTTTAAGATTCTGTCAACTTGTAACCCATCTTGGTATATTTCTATTCTATTTCTATTCAAACTCAGCAGGACAGTTAAAATCCACAGGACAGCATATTTCTATTGTTGCTACAGGGATTGGAACTGAACCCATGGTGGCAATTTGGGTAATTTTTAAAAGGAAAAAAAATGTTTGGGAAAGTAGTGAATTGGTAAGGGAGAGAGAGAGAATGCAACCTTCAGATTGTTAAAAAAAAACACAACAAATTTTGTTTTTGAAAAGGCCCCACCTGTTGAATGAAAGCACTATTTAAGACTGACCTATTCATTTCAGCCTCCTTTACAGAAGATTTGCATATAGGTGTTAAGTAATTCATGCATAGAACCGTGCCATAGGTGTCCATATTCACCGAGAGATAGTTTTCTAGTAAATTGTAAATATTCTATATGTTTTAAAGCAGATAGTTTCCTTGACATGCAGTACTTTATAGGTGAATTGCTCCACTGCCTAACAGAGCTTGAATTGCGTATAAAAGACTTTGCCCGCTTTACAGAGGCCTATGACAAAAATAATCCTGTCCATGTTAGTCTTTGCATGCTCATTTTGTATGTTATTAATCAAAGCTTCTTCTTTTTCTGCCTATGCATTGGCCTTCTAGATAGGAAACTTGCTTCCCTATTTGTCCTCATTCAGGTTTCTGGGGGGCAAGGACTAAAAGATTTTTAAAAGCTGAAATTTAAGCAATGCCTCTAGAAGCAAGGCTGCTGAGCACTTTTTTGTTTTTGTAAAAGAAACACTTCCTGGCATTCCTAGTTTTTAAACATAAGAGATTTGTGTAGAAGAGAGATTTGTGTAGAGTGCAACGAGTGTGTGCTTCCTGTTGCCGTGGCCCTCATGACGCCCCAGACTCGGGAAAAGAGCCAGCCGTTGAACATTAGATTAAAAGCTTTAGCAAACTTTCCGAAGTGTGTTCAGGCAAAAGTTGTGCTTTTCTTTTTTTGGTAGGACTTCTATCACTTAGCTTGGGTATTTGAGATAAATCTTGGTAGTTTAAGGGGTTATATTTTACATTCTTGGGTTAATTTTATTATATATTTAATATATTGATAGTTGTAAAATCGTTTGTACATAGTTCCAGGTATTGTCATGCAACCCTCGCGGTGAGGCTGTACTATAAGGGAAGCACAGAGTTCTACAAAGAGGTTTGCATACACTCAATGCTGCTTATTCCTATGTTCTTGGAGCCACAAGCAACTATATACTCCCATGCTCTCCCCCCGGGCGTCTCTTTGAAAGAGCTGTGCAGAAATCCTTCAGTTATAT